TTTACTTGAGTAACATTTTGAATGCAGGACTTTTACTGTAACAGAGTATTCCTACACTCTGGTACTTCTACTTTTACTCAAGTACAAGATCTACTTCTTCCACCGCTAACTCTTCCATTAACACCCTGAGTAAGTTTGCAGCTGTGTGTTTTGCTCCACCTTGTTGTAATTGAAACTGCAGCAGCTTGAACACAGAGCGTGAATGTTGTGATCAGCTGATTTTGCGCAGTTCTCCTGTGTGTGCGCGTAGACGAAATATGTGCTTGCTAGCTCTTGGTTTGTCATGCAGGATCCCAGTTGCAAGTGGTAGGAGCCACACGTGGGCCTGGTGTGGTGCATACGTGTTTTCTCACATGCACAAAAGACAATACATTTTTTTTTTAACTGGTGGTTTCTCAAAGGGCTAGCCTACCACATAAATGACACATCAGCATCGGTTTCCAAGAAGTAACACATTAAATGTCACAACAAAAGAACACTGACATGTTTCATGCTATATCGTGTGAATGTGGAGGGGGGGGGTGCAGAAGTATAACCTCTGTGTGGTTAAAGTGTGAAAGAGAGCATGATAGACCATGAAGGTGTGAAGAAAGCTGTGGGAACAACTCTGTTGTGAAACCTTCCTGTGCTTACCCATTATTAGACACATTAAAATATAGTCCAGAGTCTCTTTTTTGACAAAAATAAATGTAATCTTATCATTAACCTCTTATAACCACTCTCCTTGTTAATCAAGGAATATACATATCTAAACTTCAGAAACTACATGAATTTATTGAAAAAGTGCAAATTGTTTGTAACATGTATAATTAAATGTTTTAATATGTTTTGATGTCAAAACATATTTAAAACATTTTAAGTTATTCCCGGATCACACAGAAAAACACAAGTTAGACATGATTTATATACATTTAAAACTACTTTGATAGTACACTACAAAACTAACACAATTGCATTTACATCTCCAAGACAAAGAACCAAGTATATAAATGCAAAAGATACAACACATTCTCTATATAGACAAAAGTATAGACAAACCCTCTGCAACAGCGTTCCAGAGCTCCCAGGTGAACTGAGAGCCACGGTCAGAGGAGAGGTCAGACGGGGTCCTAAAGCGCGCCACCAACGTGCCGATGAATGCGCGGGCCACGTCAGAACATGCCGTCGAGGTGAGGGGAACGGCCTCGGGCCAGCGGGTCATCCTGTCCACCATCGTGAAGAGGTAGGTGAAACCGTGAGAGGGGGGCAGCGGACCTACGAGGTCGACATTGACATGGTCAAACCTCCTCTCAGGAACCGCAAAAACTTCGAAAGGGACTCTAGTATGGCAGCTGTCACTCTAGCCAGTTGACAGGCCACGCATGAGTCGACCCTGGTCTTCACGTCCTTTTTAAGCCCTTGAAATGTTGTGTATCGCCTCAAAAACGGGTCAGCGCCAGTTCGCAGGGACTAGCGGTCGAGGCTGGCCCGTGGAGAAGTCACACCACAGCTTTGCGCCTGAGTCACCGACCGTGACCTCCTCCAGGCGTAATCCTGTGTCCGAGGCCTTGAGGGTCTGGACCCCGTGGTCAGAGGCCTGGTCCGTGCTCATGCGGAGGTAATCGAGGCCCAGCTGCACAGCTCCGATGACCGCTCTGGAGAGGCAGTCCGCGACCACGTTAGTCTTACCAGCAATGTGTTTGGTGTCCGTGGTGTACTCGGATATGTATGAGAGCCGGCGTTGCTGGCGGGCGGACCACGGCTCGGCCACCTTGAACATGCAGAATGTGAGTGGCTTGTGGTCCACGAACGCCGTAAACTCACGGCCTTCCAGCAGGAAACGGAAGTGGCGAATCGCCAACCAGAGGCCAATGAGTTCCCTATTGAACACACTGTACTTGAGCTCCCTGGGGGTTGCACCGGAACCTGGTGGTAGCCCCGCACCAGATCCACTTGTCCTGGATGTGAGGGAATGGGTCTGTTGTAGTGGCGTCGTTAAGGCAGCAGTAGTCACCACGCGGTCGCCACCCGCCGGCTGGTTTAGGGGCCATGTGGAACGGTGAGGCCCAAGGGCTGTCTGAGCGGCGGATGATGCCCAGACGCTCCATGTTGTTGAACTCCGACTTGGCGACTGCCAGCATGTCAGGGTTGAGCCGCCGGGCCCTAGCGTAGACTGGGGGGCCTTTAATGTCAATGTGGTGTTCGACCCCGTGTTTGGTAGTGACGGCAGAAAAGGTGGGCTGCGTTAAGCCGGGAAACTCACTGAGAAGGTGTTGATACTTGTCACCCTGTGAGAGTGAGGACACATGCGAACGAGGCAAATGTCAGTGCGTCATTGTGTGCGAATAGGGGTGTCGCTAGCAGATGGTAAAGGTGGGCCGTGCCCCCCGCCACCTTCATCTGTTATCCCGCAGAGGGCGAATTGAGCCTCCGTCTGTGCGAACCATGCTGCCGCGGACGTCTCCCAAAACTCCGGCAGTTTGAGAAAATGTGCCATGTTCGGTTCAGTCTCGGATACTTCCACAAGACTTACTTCGGGGTCACCAATGTAGTGCCGAGAGACGGGAGTCAGAGAAGGTGTGTCAAAAGACAAAGCTAGTCTTTTATTATGCATGGAACAGAAAGTAAACAACTCAAGCCGGGGAAATCACTGACCGGCAAAACCGGAAGTCCTATAAACTAAAATGTCGGTGAGGAACAATACCCCCACCCATGGTTCCGTGGGTGAATTATGTCAACCCACCACACCATACACATTACACCTACAGGAGGTTTTATGACATCCCATTCCAAAATCTTAGGCATTAATATGAAGTTGGTCCCCCCTTTGCAGCTATAACATATTCCACTCTTCTGGGAAGGCTTTGTACAATATTGTATGAGTGTGTCTGTGGGAACTGTTGCCCATTCATCCAGAAGAGCATTTGTGAGGTCAGACACTGATGTCTAGTTCTTCCCAAAGGTGTTCAATGGGGTTGAGGTCAGGGCTCTGTGCGGGCCAGTCAAGTTCTTCCACACCAAACTCATCCAACCATGCCGTTATGGACCTCGCTTTGTGCACTGGGGCACAGTCATGCTGGAACAGAAAAGGGCCTTCCCCAAACTGTTTCCACAAATTTTGAAACATAGAATTCTCCAAAATGACTTGGTAAGATGAAGCATTAAGAATCTCCTTCACTGGAACTAAAGGGCCTAGGTCAACCCCAAAAAAACAAGCCCATAGCATTATCCCTCCTCCACCAAACTTTATAGTTGGCATAATGCAGTCAGGCAGGTAACGTTCTCCTGGCATTCGCTTGGTGATGTAAGACTTGCATGCAGCTGCTCGGCCATGAAAACCCATGCCATGAAGCTCCCGGTGCACAGTTTTGGTGCTGATATTAATGCCAGAGCTGGTTTGGAACTCTGCAGTTATTGAGTCATCAGAGCTTTGGCCACTTTTTTAAGTATACATGGTCCTCAGCAATCTGCGACCCCGCTCTGTAACTTTACGTGGTCTGCCACTTCGTGGCTGAGTTGCTGTGGTTCCTAAACGTTTCCACTTTGCAAAAATACCACTTACATTTGATCGTGGAATCTAGGAGAGAAGAAATGTCACAAGCTGACTTGTTGCAACAGTGGCATCCTATTACCAGGGGCGCCGTTTGCCGGTAGGCAAGGCAGGAAAGGCAGGCAACTTGGGGCCCCGGACCAGAAGGGAGCCCCGAAAGAAGGTCGATTAAATCGGTCCACTGCAACGACAACATGAAACCCCCTTTAATTTACTGCAATGACACGTCGGGAAACCCCCTCAAGGGGGCCCCATGCACATAGGCGGCGCCAGGGGGGCGCTAGGGGGTGCTGTAGCTCCCCCTAGGATAGCCATAGCACCCCCTAAGCACCCCCAATAAATGTATGTGTCTTTTCTTTTTTTTATGTCTGCAATTCATAATTTGAAAAATGATTGATTCGAAAATAATATGCTACAGTACAGTACAATACAAGTACTTCTGGGTCTCTGTTTCATTCAAGCTCGGCTCTGTTTGTGTGTGTGGCACGAGCCATTTTGTGTGCATGCATGAGAGAGGGAGCGCACCGGCACCGAGATCGTTGTTGTTAACATCTGTTGCTAGCTAGCTACGCTAACGGATATAAAGAGCTTTTTAAACAACAAGGTGGAGGGAGAACTCAGACTGAGAGGCTCAAATAACATCAGCTCAGTGAGGTAAAGGACTCTCTCAGTGTTTAGACAGTTTACTTTAGTCTAAGTTATCTCAGTGGGTCTCTTAATGTACAGTAAACAAGTATTTCCGAGGCACACGTTTATATGATCATTATAGGTATAACAAAATAAGAGAATAAATTAAAAACAGGTATGAAACAAAAATACAGTTTAAAAGGGGAGTGATTTGTAAAATATCCATAAAGAAATAGAAAATCGGTTTACAGTTATGTTTCATATACAGTAGGTGTTGAGAGATGTGTACATAGATCTCTAAATGTTGTTCTCAAAGTGCACCAGATTGATGCTTTTAACTTAAATATTTAAAATAAAATCTTCCCGGACCCCCCTAGAGGATATGTGGTCCACCCCCCACTTATAAAATTGCACTTTACCTCTGCTTACACCTATATGCCGTGAACTGATTATCGAGCCTTCATTGTAACAGTCGCAGTTATACTGTGCGTGGGGAGTGTTGCAGTAGAAAACTGTAGCCCGGTACATTAATGGGAAACCCTACATGTTTGAGCACCCTCTATGAAACGTCAAGCTACCCCACAGCACCCCTAAAAGAAAATCTCTGGCGCCGCCACTGCCCATGCATAGCATGCCGTCAAAAGCTGCTTCATAATCTCGGTTTTGCAATCTCTGCTTGAGTGACATGAATGTTTGTTTGCTGTGGTCCACCACACAAACACTCATTTGCACGCACACCAATTCTTCAAAACCTGCACACAGTTTTCCCATATGCTTAATGTGGGCGTAAGTGTGAAAATGTGTGACCTACCCGTCACGAAGGCAAGGTATATATAAAGTTGACCATGAGCCCTGAACACATGCTGAAGACCAGTTGTCTGAAACCTTTGAACATCTTCCCATCCTTAAGGCTGGTGAGTTGAACTTTTAAATCATATTTTGATCATAACTTTTTTTCTGAAATAGTTTTTTTGCATTTGCCATGCCACTGTCCTAACGTATCTGTGTTACTGGTACAAATGATGATGCAGCTGATTGTTTGTGACTTGCTTTGAATATCTGCTTGGATTCAACAGATTTCCTGACTACAGTGATGGAGGGCAACATGTGGATCTTTGCAACACTGGGTCTAATCATTTTCTGGATGATGCCTGTTGACTCCATGGCGGTGAGTTGAGCATGTGGAAGTGGGTGGACATTCCCAACAATGGCAGGGAAATATATTTACATATTTACCATGATTTTTGGGTGCAAAAATACTAGAAAATATGTTCTTCATTAAGAGATTTGGTGAAATGTTGTATTTAGAATCATGCTTAAGAGGATACTTGAGGAAGCAGTGATCTGTGGTTTATGCTTTTAATATCTGTGCATCTGTTTTGATTAATCTTCTATATGCACCTGAACAGGTTAGGGAACAAATTATCATTAACAGTGCATTTTGCATTAACTTATTAGTTAATGGACATTTATTTTGCTTAATATTGTATTCTTGAGAAACTACAGCAACAGGGATATTGCACAAGTGTAAGCATGTGCTATGGTGGCAGTGTTACTTACCATTATTCACTGATTTAGGTTCACTCAATAAAATATGTAATGGTGGGTGTGGCATCACAACGCAATAACATCCACCACAACATTTTTTTTTAAAGATTGTAACAAAGTACCCGTTTATCATTGTCTGTTCTCCTCTCTTTTCCCATTTTAGATACGTTTTAACTTCACTCTACGAGAAGCCAAAATCTCATTGAGCATGGTTAAAGATTCGGTTGATGACATGTATTTTGACTGCAATGATCAAATGATGACAATAGTGAAGGACAAATACCTTCAAAAAGAAAAGAAACGTTTTAAAAAACACTGGAATGCGGCACAATCTTGTGCAAAAAGGGGATTTGATGAGAGAGAGGATAAGGATAAGGCTCTAACCATAGATCACACTAGTGCAATCTGTGTTTACACAGCTAACACTTTGTACAAGGAATTTAATACTGCAGTCCGGACAAAAGGGAGTTCCTATACCAAATCATTCAAATACCACTCTTTACATTACCTGCTGACATCTGCCATACAGATCTTAAATAACAACTCCTGTCACTCTACTTTCAGACGAACCAAAGATATATTTACTGGCGAACTCAACAAAATAATTCGGTTTGGCTCCTTTACCTCAACATCTATCAAATCAAACTTGACGAACTTCGGTAGTAAGACCTGCTTCAAAATTAAGACCTGTTATGGCGCATATCTGAACAATTATCCAGTCAACGGTGTTCGAGAGGCCGAGGTTCTGATCCCTCCCTATGAGACATTCAACATAACTGAGAAAAGTCGGTTCCAAATTCAAGGTCTAGAGGATTGTGAAGTTGTCTTTGTCTTGGTGAGTGCAGGGGTCAAGAGCTCTCTGAACTGCAAGGTTGTGCCTGTGAAATGAAGCTGTATTGGTCCAACAAATGGAAAATACTATGTCCATCTTTAAACCTTCTAACTATCTTTTCATAAATGTGTGTTAAACATGGCTTTATATTCTCTACACTGCTTAATTTGAATGCTCAGGCTTTGTTCAATCATTGAAGACTTGTTTAATCCAGTTCTCCAGCAATGTGGTATATTTTCTTTGTCCAATTACTAAGATACTTTTAAGACCTGTATTGTTGTAATTGTCAAAAAGAAACCTAAAATAAATGCTTCTGCTTAATACTACTCATCAAACTGCCAAAAATACAATATTGTGACTTCTGTTAAAAAAAAAATTGTGTCATGTTTTATTAAAATGTTTACTTTAACATGTACACCCTAACCCTATCAGCTGGTGGTAAAAAGAGTGTTTTACAGTCACATCATAAAATATATATTTCAAAAATGTTCTTTTTTTTATGTAAATAAAGAAGGTGTGATGTGTTGGTATGTCAGCTTTGACAAAGCTGGGCTCAGTAATACAAACTCAGCCTTCTCTGTTGCGAAATTGTAGAAAAGTATGTAACCATCAAATTAAGGAACCAAAGTCTCAATTTGGTGAAGCTATTTTTAAAATGGTGTCTAAATTATATTTGATATATTATCAGAGATTTGAACAAAAAACTCTTCAACAATCAGGGTAGACTGATGGGAAATAGAAATTCGCAACGTTTTGTATTTCCAAGTGGGTGGTGGTGACATCTCTGAGTCTAGTAAACTGGCATCCCACTGATTTTATTCCTCTCCCATACCCACTTTCAGCCCTGTGCTTCACAGGTGTGAACTGTGAGGGTAGGTTTTCAGCAGGACCATCCTGATTAGCTCCCCAGTGTGTATCAAAGTCGTCTAAAGATTGTATTTACAGAGCCTGTATATATAGTTATAAGGTCAAAAGTGTCAGGTTGGCGGATAGGATCATTTAGTTTTATGGCTACTAAGGGCTGTGCTGGTTATATAGCCTGACCGCTGCAGGAAGGAAGGGCCTGCGGTATCTCTCAGTGAGACAGCAGGGGTGCAGCAGCCTGTCGCTGAAGGAGCTGCACAGTGCAGACAGGGTGTCCTGGAGGGGGTGGGACACATTGTCCAGCAGGGAGGACAGCTTGGCTGCCATTCTCCTGTCTCCCACCACCTCTCCAGTGTCCAGAGGACTCCCCAGGACAGAAGGACTGAAGGACTGAAGGAACTTACCCCTCAGGCCTCTGTGGCTTAGTTATGTTAGTTAAAAAGCACATGTGGGTATAGCTCACTTACAAGGGTCAATTCAGTAGGCACATATTCATTTCTTATTTCATAGTTTTTCATCATTTTAATTTTTATCTTTGATTTTATTTTTGATTTTATTAATCTGTGTGAATCTGTGCTGTCCTGTTTTTCATCCTTACCCTGTTGCTGTTTGAACTACTGAATTTCCCCACGGGGATTAATAAAGGTCCATCGTATCTTATCTTATCTTATATGTAATTGTTTCAGTTAAGGGACACTAATTTTACAAAAACATTTGAATTGCTAATTTAGTAGTTTTCTCAAATCTTTGCATCTTGGATATATCTTAAAGTGGACCTATCATGCTATATTTTAATAATATAGTGTAGGACCATACCTATATAAGGCATATTTATACTTTTTTTTTTTCAAAATACCAAACAGATCATGCATTTTAGCCATGCCTCATTTCGCTCAATTTGCACTTTTTTAGCCCTGTTTTTGCAAGGGCTGATTATGTGAGAACAGCACCACCTACAGGCCTGGCATATGTACTACAGCGTCTCCAGCGCTTTCGAACGGCAATTGCCGTGGCTGTCTCCTCCTGATTGGTGGAGTTGGCCCAATAGCCTGCCACATTGAATGGATGAACACATTTATTTCTAAATACAAGTTGTACAAATAGTTATATGTACTTATATGTATTTAATACATTACATTTCATTTGTTACATTCTGACTGCAGTGGAACTCGAACTTGCTATCCCCTGATTCGAAGTCCAGCACACTATCCACTGAGCCACTGCAGAGTCAGAGCGGGCGTCCACGAGGTTGGCACTGGAGACTCTTTCTCAAAGACATTTAAACATTGAAAGAGGGACCCCACCAGCACAGCAGGAGCAGCTGGACACGCAGCTGGACACGCAGCTGGACACGCAACCAGGTGAAGACTGTTTGGGTTCCATGTGGACGAAGGAGACCCACAGCCTCTGCAGCCAGAAGTGCCAACCCCGTCAGCTCCCATACTGGTGTCGGCGGCAACACCATTGCCAGCGGTCATTCCAGTGCCAGCGGTCATTCCAGTGCCAGCGGTCACTCCAATGCCGGCGGTCACTCCGGGGTCGGTGGTCACTCCAGGGTCGGCGGTCACTCCAGGGTCGGCGGCAACACCAAGATCGGCTGCCACACCTGATGCGCCCACAAGGGCAGTTTCCTCAGATCGCGAGGAAAGCTTCTATCAGGACTGCTTTTTTAAGGGGCAGCATCGCCCTGAGATGTATGCTGCTAATCTCTTCATGAGCATAATGCCATTTTAAACTTATGGGAGACTGGTGAAGAGAACAAACTGGACTGGGAGCAATGGGAAAATGCCTCTTCCCCTCAATGTGAAGCAGAAAATTGAGTCCTATGTTTCCCATCGGTTCCCAGACCTGAACATGGACCAGTGGCATAAGATTAGGAGCCGGGTAAACAAGAGACTGAGGAGCCCCCGAAAAATTGATCCCGAAACACCTCGTCCTGGTTTCCGCTGCAGATAATTGGTCATGTCATTGTTATAAATAAAACGGTGAAAACTGAACTTCAAAATGGTTTCCTCTTTTTATTATTTTTTATTATTTTCGGGACGGGGGAGACGTGTGTGATTAAAAATTAATTTGCAGAAATGTAAAGTGACCAAACTAAGTTTTATTCAAATTCTTGACGGGAAGAGCGGTGTAAATGGGTGGCCTATATGCATTTGAAAAGCAATAGAAATCACACAGTTATTATACAATAGGCTTTAAAAGCACCATCGATAACCATTACCCTGTCTCCAATTCAAACTTTTGACGGGAAGAAAGGTGTAAATGGTTGGGCTGTACTGTACTGTATACATATGAAAAGTAATTCAAGCTAGACGTTCTTCTGGAAATTCCCACACAGTTTTTACTGAGAAAGGTGTACATTGAGTTACATTAGCCTACTTTTCTTCAGTATTTTCACATCTGGCACCTTCAAGTTAAACAATAATGCAGTAAATATGAGTAAACCAATGAAATGTGTGTACGGTTTGGATCAGGCAGACATGTTATAATATATAAATGTGGTGCCAGAGTGGAGTGAATCAAGGAACCACAGAAGGTGTGTAGGCCCTCGACATTCCTACATAGCTGCCTGCCGCTCAGCAGCTATACACAAACACTAGTACAGATATTTAGAATTTAGAAAAACTAGACAAACTCTATAATTTTGCTATATAATGTGAACTAACGAGGGTTAGAAATATAAATGTTTTAATGTTACAAGATTATCCTGCATAAAACTGCAAAACAATAGCTTTTGTTCGAAAATTGAGAGTTTGAGAGTGTTGACTCACTGCAGTCCAGCACAGAATCTCCTCTTCAATCTTTATCTACATTACATCGTATTTACAAGAATTTGATCCAGTGGTTATCCTAAACAACAATAAAAGGTAAATGAAAATATACAAATACTGAGAACGTTAGGGTCTTGTAGTAATATGCACAATAATAATAATAGTAATATGCTTTTCTCGTCTTTTGTATTTCCAAGTGGGTGGGGACATCTCTGAATCTAGTAAACTGGCATCCCACTGGTGTTTTTCCTCTCCCATACCCACTTTCAGCCCTGTGCTGCAGGACCATCCTGATAAGCTCCCCAGTGTGTATCAAAGTCGTCTAAAGATTGTATTTACAGAGCCTGTGTATATAGTTATAAGGTCAAAGGTGTCAGGTTGGCGGATAGGATCATTTAGTTTGATGGCTATGATAAGTCTGTTGCATTATCCTTCTGCACCTATTGGAAACTGATGACACCGGATCAAAGAAGGCCCTTGTTTAGTTGCATGGAAAACAGTGTTTCCAATCATGTGTGTATGGTACATCTTTCTGTCAATCATGGCAGGACTGGGAAGAAGCTGTTTGGGATTGAAAGCAAAATATGCCCTTCGGGTCATACAGTAGGAGATAAACACAAATCCAAATGCTTAATATTTGTAATTAAAATATGCTGGATGTGCAACAAGTAATTTTACCATATCAACTTTATAAGGTGATATTATGTTTACATGAAAAAACGTGATTGCTCCACAAATGTTCTACTATTTTCCATTTTTTATTTGATTATTTCTTCATTATGTATTAAGATCACAGTGATTATATGCAGTGATAGTGCATGAGTTGAGCATGGAAATGCAGAGAATACAGTTTATTATGGTGTTCAATGGCACAAAACCCAGGTGATGCTTATCAGCTCAGGCCTATTGTGTGAGACATGGAGGAGGTAAGCCATTTTTTTTTAAAACATGTGCACCATACAAGAGCATTAAAATGGTTCCTAAGGATCCTTCATGAATGCCATCAGTGTCATATGACAAGGTGGGCCCAGAAGAGAAGTGAATATTGAGTGTTTATTGTTCTACAAGGGCCCATTGTGTTGTGAAATGGTATCCCAGTTATCTTTTGAAATCAGCCGGCAAGCTTTAAGTCAGGGTTAGTCACTGATAACATTTACAAAAAAAAACTGTCAAAAACTGTCAATAATGTTAATCCACTCCTGTTGTTTTCTGTTTGCTTAAGTGTATTGTGTAGTATATACTGTAAGCTCACAAAGATTGTTAAAAAAATATATATATTTCACTTTGATACGTCTATATGAATGTCATGTATGGCAGAAGTATGTAAAATATGTATAATAGCACACAGTTTAAATTGCACACTTGCTTAGAAACCAGTGTGCACTGTAAAAGCTCCAGGATCTTAAATGTGGTTTGAGAGGATTCATAAAATGTATACTCTTACAATGTATGACTCTTAAGATTCTGACATTCACTTCTATTATAACACATCTTTCAACCTTACATGACCTTGGAGGAAAATAAGATGGCATGAAAAGATACATTATATGAGCATCAACAATCACAGCATAATGTTGTCACTAAGTAAAACATAAATGGATTAAACATGATGTATCCTGTACCGTAGCTTCATCAGTTCAGTATGATAACACTGTTTGTTACATGTTTCTCTTGTTAATGTAATTGTCATTTAAATATATGAATATATACCATGAATATTTGGGAGTGTTTGGTCCTGTAGCTACGTGATAAGCTTAGCAAGTGTGGTTTCTTGAAACCAGCAAAGGTTACGTCCATTACACCAAGCTAAGTGGGAATAGCAGCACATTACTGTATAGCAAAGCATTCATGCTAGCGGCTACATCAATACTGAGGCACGAAGTTTCTATAAAGCATGCTTGATTAGAAGTACAGTTTTATATTTTGATCCCTGTAGTATCATCGTGTACAGAACACTATCACATATTCATGCTTCATCTCATTAAACATGTGTGTACTTACGGCATAGTATTTTGAATATCTTAAAATTATTTTCAGGAAATCATGTCTTTAAGTTATTGATCCTGGTTGTCACTTGTGAAAACCTTGAAACTCCAATTATATATAGTTGTGTTTTTACGGACCCAATAAGTATTATAATTGCGATAGGCCCAAAAACCTACAGTATATTTGTTCCTTCTTAAAAAATATAATATTCAATGAATTACATTTTTCTTTAACATCTCCTGATTTTAAGTTATTGAACAATGTTTCCATAATGTTTCAGCATAATTATGCGTCCTTCACTTTTTCATCATAACTGCCGCTGCCCTTGTAGGCCCCCACGTAGCCACTGTCGTCTGGGACGTCCGCGCGCCCGACCTTTCCTTTTCCTTTGCCTGACTCGTCAAACCGCTCCTTGTGAGCTCCAGTGTACTTTGTGGTGTCGGTCAGTCTGTCCACTGCTGCTGCCTTTGCCACTTTCTAAAAACAATAGAAGAGTTAACAAAGTGGTAATTTCAATCAAACACAACATGCGCTTTTCTATTCATTTATTTTATTTATTTATTAAATAATCAACATTTCTGTAAATGTGGCAGAGTTAGCCAAGAAGCTATCTTTCATCTGTAGTCCCTGGACAGATTTTGTAAGTCACCCTAAAGACAAATTTCAAATTTCAATATTTATAAAGTGTCAAAAATAACCAAATTATATTGTTATGTAGCTTTGGCACCATCCAGTGGTTTAACCAATAATGGCTCCAGCAGAAAACAATGCACATTACTGTGTTTGCCATGGCACAGATCTGGTAAGATATGCAAACTTCATAAATCTCACTCAAACAAAGATTGAAGTCCTTCTAGTTTATTGCCTTAAACTTACTTAATTTGTTGGTTGTTTATTTTAGTGGGGGTTGTGTCGAGAAAGCAACGTAGGCACATTGTTGAATGTGGAAAT